CACCATCCAGGGGGAGCAGAAAGGATATGTGATACGTAGGGTTTTATTTGGGGGGTGGTAGGGGAGGAGGGGAGGGAGAGGGAACTGGGATTGACATGTAAAACAATCTTGTTTCTAATTCAAATAAAAAAAGAAAATGGGTATAATCCAGGCCCACACTATTACTAGGTGTGACAAAACATGTCAGAAGGTTTACAATTTCTGTAACAACCATGTAGAAAGTGATGTATGGAAGAGATGTGTACAAGTGCTGTAGGAGTACAGAGAGAGGAGGAATGGCTTAAGTTTATCAGGAACAGAGGGCTCAGAAAAGGCCTTGTGGAGGATGGGACATTTGAGCAGAGATTTGAAGGGTGGGGACATGAGGATATGGTGAGGGAGGGATTCCACTCACAAGGAACAAGTGATGAAGAATATCTTCTAGGTCCCTGAATTGAGTTAGAGCACCGAGTTCACAAGCCCTGGGAACTATACACGTCTAAAGCGTTTACAAAGAGCTTTCCAAAATGTCCTTGTGGATTTGTCCATGGAAATGAGTGCTGCTTTGTTTTCTTTCAAAGATGAGTAAACAGAGGTTTGTAGATAGTGTCCGTTTCTAAGGTCACATGTCTAGTAAGTGGCAGGTTCAGGGCACAAACAGTGGTCATTTTACTTCAGCTTCCAAATAGGAAATGAGGTTAGAAAGGTGAGCTGGAACCAGGATGTGACTGGGAGGCTTGACATTTGACCTGCTAGCCTGACAACAGGAATTGGGGATTAGAGCTCTGCTTCAGGATGGCTGATCTTACAGAAGCGGAGTTGGAGAAGAGAGATGTGGATTTTAAAGGTTGTTATGAAGCTATTGCAATAATACAGATGAGAGGGAATAAAGCCTGTACATTAAAAATGATTATGAGAGTAGAAAAAGCAAGATGTAACAGAACCTGGGGATATATAGGGCAGAAAGAGAGATAGATTAAAAATAGCTTTTTTTTAAAAAAAAGTATTTTTTATGTGTATGGGTGTTTTACCATGTATGTAAATGTACCTCATGCATGAGGGCGGTGCCCAAAGAGGCTAGAAGAGAGTGTCAGATCCCCTGGAACTGGAATTGTAGACAGTTGTGAACCACCATGTGGGTACTGGGAACCAAGCCAGGATCCTCTGCAAGAGCAGCAATTGATCTTAACCACTGAGCCATCTCTTCAACCCCATAAAAATAACTTTTTAAATAGGAATAAAACTCATGGTTTCCAACATATCAGGCAAGTATTCCACTGAGCTACAACTCCAGTCATACTTGCCATTTGAATCTGTGTGTGTGTGTGTGTGTGTGTGTGTGTGTGTGTGTGTGTGTGTGTGTGTTTAAGAATACTCCGTGAACAAAGATGATGACCTTGCTTTTACACTTCTACCTACTTGCAAGTTGCCTTATAGTGCAATAGCCTGTCCCTGGCAACCTTGCAAATATCCATGTACTGGAGCAGAAACAAATAAGAAGCTCATGAAATACTATTTCAAAGCAGCCTCCCATTCTTTATTTCTCTTGTCACTAAATTATTTGTTAGGCTCCTCCTTCCCTGTGGCCACCACTGCCAGGTTCTGATGAGGTATGATTCTTCAGTTACAGAGCTTTTTTTAAAAGACAAGGAATCATGTAGAGGGTGAACGTGGAATGGCTTAGGCTATAAGGATTCTCATGTTCTTGCTATAACTTGGAAGCCAAAGGCAAGGTGGAGCTAGGGCCCTCTCATAAGGGGTGGCACAGACCAAGAGAAGAGAGGTAGGACTCTGTTAGTGTATGGAATTGTGAATCCAGACTAAACAGAGGAAGATAGGACAGCTCTCACCTGGCTACTAGGGAAAGGAATGAGAGGTCTGTCACTATATCTGTTCATAGTCTAAATGGGTTGGGCTGGGCTAGAAGATGGATTTCCTGAGATGCAATAGGATATGCTACATGTTGGCCCGGTTCTTACAGTGCTGAAAAGCAAGAGGTGGGATTGAAACTGCTTGCCTTCTTAGCACCCTAGAAAGTTCATCCATTGGGCTGATCATGTTATACTTCCATTTGTTGAGGCCTCATGAAAGGCCACAGTGCCAAAGAGTCTGAACAGAGAAAGTTCATGAGTTACATGGTGGCTGTCTGGAGCGGTCAGATGTGAGCTGAGGGTTCATGAAGTACAGGGAATATAGGAGCCAAGAGGACAGAGTCAGACAGAGCATTAGGGAAATTGAGATCAGTAGGCGATGGACTGGCAAGAAGAGCTTCAAAGCTCTGTTCAGATTCTTTGCTACACTCCTATAAAACAAACAAATAAAAACAAGCTGGTAATGCTTGGCCCAAACTTTCATTAGAGAATAAAAAGAAGTGATTTTGTTAGAGATCCATAAACTGATTCATTTCATATCCCAGTGTATGTGTGTGTATTTGGAGTCAGTGTGTGTTTGAATTGTGAATGTTGGTAAAGTATTAGAAAAAAGGTCCTTGATATTCATCATTTTCCATGTATAAATGCTATCCAGCTGGTTGACAACTTGTATTGGTCTCAATGGCTTTGGCTGTCTACCAGCAGGAGTGACTGATAAGAGCCTGCATGCCAAGTAAAATTTCCTGAATGCTGACAGATGTAAAATGCTAGGTCCTGATGGTGAAGGGGGGGTGGAGTGGGGGTGGGGAACGGTCTCTTACAAAGTAAAGAACTACATTTCTGCTAATGCCACCTTTGCCTACCAACCTGTAAGTTCTGCTCAACTACAGCCCCAGGAATGTTGCCACATTTATATGGAGCTTAGATCTAACTTCGGTCATATAGATTGACTACAGTAGACCTCATAACCCCTTTCTGAAGCTGTCCAGATTTTATTTTCCAGATTGCAGCCAGTGACAGTTTGATCAATGACTGGCAACACTGTTGTATCACTTGAAATTAATCTGTGTCTCGTTTTATTTGACAGACATTTCACACATCCAAGTGGTTGTAACGGATACTGGTAATTATATTGTAAAAAAAAATGAGTATTTTGAGTAAGTGTAATACTTTTTCTTGATTGTAAGATGTGTTCCCAAAGGAGAAATGACATGATTTGATCAACAGTATTGATGCAAGTATATGATCAGAACTGATACCACCTATCTGGTATCAGTAAAGCCATATATAGTGTCAGCAAGAGAAAGAAGGATATATAGAAAGGAAGGTCTCTGTTGCTTAAAAATAAACTAGGAGAAATAGAAATGATTCAAGTACCCTAGCTGTGTAAGTCCACTTTGTGTCACTATAACAAAATGCCCAAGCATAAGTGCATTGTAAATAAAGCAATTTATTTGAACTATGATTCTGGTGCCTGGAACATCCAAATGGAGTCATGCCAGTATCCCTGAAAGGGCCCCCTAGCTGCATCACAAGGTATCACAATGTGCCAGAGAAGTCAAAACAGAGCTCCACATGTTCAGGAGCCAAACACACAGGGTGGCCTTGGATTAAAGCAACTCATTTTAGTGGAAACTGATCCAGTCCTTTCAGATCTGATAGTGTTAGTCCCTTCCAAGGTAGCATCCTTGGTGACCTAATTACCTTGTACTAGGCTTTGCTTCTTAAAGGCTCTGCCATCTCTCCCTGGGACAGAGCTTCCAGGACATAAGCCTTTAGGGAACAAACTGTATCCAAACAATAGTACTATCCAACATTTTGTATAGAAGGTACTTTGAACATGGCTAGGGAGTCCTAACGAGATTAGTAATCTGCATCAGTTAATGATTGTATAAACTGGTGCCTATGGCCATAGAAGTAGCTTTTCAGATAGTGGTCCTCTCTGGCAAGGAGGACATGACACTTTTAATACGGTTAAGTTTAGAAATAATTATCTGTCTGTGAAGATGTACTTTAGGGGGAACCATGGAAGTTTCTACGCAGTTTTCTACCGTTATTTGGTCCTCTGTTTCAAGCGCTAGACAGCCTCACATTTAACATGGGGAAAAGCAGCAGAATCACTGTTTCCTCTCTAAATAGGCTTGCTGCCATCGCTGGGGTTTAAGCAGGCAATTAAGTGTTTTAATTTTAACTTTTAGCCGGGCGTTGGTGGCGCATGCCTTTAATCCCAGCACTCGGGAGGCAGAGGCAGGCGGATCTCTGTGAGTTTGAGGCCAGCCTGGTCTCCAGAGGGAGTGCCAGGATAGGCTCCAAAGCTACACAGAGAAACCCTGTCTCGAAAAACCAAAAAAAAAAAATTAACCTTTAACTCGTTGAGGTCTTTATAACTATAAACAGAGTTATCGAAAATACCTGTCTGGGTGCATGCACATGTGCACTTGTGTGTGTGTGTGTGTTGTGTGTGTGTGTGTGTGTGTGTGTGTGTGTGTGTGTGTGTGTGTGAGAGAGAGAGAGAGAGAGAGAGAGAGAGAGAGAGAGAGAGAGAGAATCTGTCTACTATGTACCCCTGGCTGTCTGGGAATTTGCTATGTAGGCTAGTCTTGTCTTGACCTCACAGAGATCCTCCTGCCTCTGCCTCTCAAGTGCTGGGGTTAAAGGTATGTACCACCACACCAATACCCATGTTCTTTAACAGAAGAGATATCAGAAAGAAACTGTAATGTGCATAAGATACATCCATTTTTCTTTACCCAAACTGCTGGTTCAACTTATTCACTCTATCCACCTTTTACTGTGTTCCTGAACTGTAAAGTGTCTTAGAGGCAAGAGGTAGGAAAGCCAAGTCAAGGCAAAATGCTTTGCAAATATTACATTTTCCCATAGACTCTGACTTTTGTAAGGAGAAAATCAGATTGCAGGGTCATCCATTATGTGAAACCTAGAAATCACCTTCATGGCTCTATCTGCCATTATGTCCATTGGTCTCTAAAACTCAGTAAATGCACCACTATTAATGCCTCCTTGCTTATCTTCTGGGACATCCATAGGAAGGAATTAAAGTCAGATTTATAGATCTTGGTACTGAACGGGAGATTTTGATAGATTGTTGAGAAGGGGGGGTTCTAATATCACAGATTTCTACCTTTCCAGATAATGCTGTAGATCCCGATGTATCTGCCAGGACGGTCTTCATAGATGTTGAGGAGGTCAAGAATAAACCTTGTTTGACCTTTACGGATGATGGGTGTGGGATGACGCCTCACAAACTCCACCGAATGCTCAGGTAAAAATGTCTTTATCCTATTTTGTTATCTTGACTTCACAGACTTCGTTTAAGGGTAATAACATTTTCATTTACTTGGATGTACCCTGTGGATATTTATTAAGCAGATCTCAGTGTCAAAACACTGATTGTGAAGCAGACATTATTTCTGCCTTCATGGAACTTAGAATCTAGCTGGCAATTCAGATGACTGAAGCAAGTAACCATAATAAAATACTCTAAGTAGAAAAATAGGAACGCATGAGATACATGGGGTAAGGACACAGCAGAACCTAATCAGAGGTCTGTAAAAGTCTCCTACTTAGAATGCTGTTCTCATAGAGATGTAACAGATGAGTCCAATTTAACAAGGTAAGGAAGGGTAGGGAGGGAGTAAGGAATGGCAGTTCTAGAAAAGAAGATGGTGTAAACAAAAAGCCGAGTTTCTCCATTTATCTGATTGATACCTTCTCCGGTTCATGAGTCACCTAGACTCATTCTTAAGTCACAAGTACTGGAGTTGGGATGACTCATAGGTTAGAACTGTGAAGGGACCTGATTAAAAAGAAAACCCCGTGAGAGATAAGTAGAAGGTAATCACACACATAGTCTTGGAAGGTTTTACAGTAGAACTGTGGAGTTAAGAGGGGGTATTTTCTAACTAGTGAAGCTGAAGAGAATGCATACTGCCAGACTGAGTTGATTTAATTATTTTTAAACATTTGTGGTTGAGAATGTTTGTGCTTTATTGTCTTCCCATATCACTTGGTGCAAGATGGGTGTTTCTTCAACCCTTTCCTTCTTTTTTTTTCCTTTTTAGCAGATGTGGTTGTTAACTCTCCATGTGCTTCCTGAACTTGGGCATGTAAAGTGTGGGTAACAATGGATCAGTGCTGACGAGAAGGGAAAGGGCTCAGAGTCCTAAAAATGGAAAACAAATTCATTGTGTTGTAGTTTTATTGGAAAGTTTTCTGAATTAGTAGCTGTTTATAGGGAATCCCTTTGTTCCTTCAAAGAAACAAAAATGAAATTTGGTCAAAGTAAGTGGTTATGTTTTACTACTCAGCAGTCTTCTTTTACCTTAGTCTC